GTGGTTCCATTGCCTACCTCGCAAGTGCAAGGTCCCGAGTTCGATTCCTGGTACAAACAAAGCAACAACAAGAACAACAACAAAACTGTTTCAAAGAGCATTTAGAGCAGGAAAGAAGATGAAGGCAGTTGAAAGCGTCTGTCGTGAAGCGAAAGAAGCAAAGCACAAAGGGTGGCCTCTTTAGCTCACGCTGTCCTGGGCAGAGCGTGAGACCACTGCTGAGTCCGTGACAGGGGTGGCAGCTTCAAAATGTGTGCTACAGGCCTGATGTGGTGGACCCGAAGCCAGAGGAGAGAAAGATCCGATCCCTAGTCACTGGGGAGAAGGAAAGCAAAGCCGTCCTACATTTGGGATGGAAAATAAAAGCGAAACGAGTCAGAAGGAAGGCGGCTTCCCTATGGAGAATTAAATCCAGACCTTGGCCTGACATTGAGCGCTCCGCGATCTGCCTTCTACAAGTCCTGGTGGCCAGGATCCGGCAGCAGCACCTGCCTACTGGGCCGGAGTAAGCGTGCGTGGGCTGAGTCGCACCCCGCCTCCATGGGTTGAGACCTGGACTCCCAGGGGAACAGCATATTTGGTGATGGGACCCCTGGAGGTAGGTGTAGGTGAGGTTATGAAGGTAGGGAAATCATGACGGGATTAGTGTCCTTATAAGACCGGAAAACTTGATTTCCATCCTTGCCATACAGAGAAAAGGTGACCATTTTCAAACTACTCAGAAAGCCCTCACCAGGAATGGAATTAGCTGGCACCTTGACATTGGACTTTCCAGCCTCCAGAACTGGGGGAAATAAATGTCTATTGTTTAAGCCCCACCCCCCAATCTGTTGGCCCAAGCTGACAGAGCAGGTGTCTGGAGGGGAGGAGCTCCACCATCCTTCAGGGCAGGTTCACTGCCACCTTCTTCCAGGGGTCTTTCTTTTTTTCTCCCAGATGACGCTTCTCTCGCCTTCCTACCACCCATGGATTGCACTTGAATGATAGCACTTAATACTTCACGTGTGTCTTCCTTGCAGTACTGACGGCTAATATTCATCAGCTCTGATTTAATTTTCCCTAACTCCGCCCCTGCTTATGCCAGTTCACAACCGGAGCCAATCCGAGGCCATAGGTACCTCCCCACTGCCCCACAGGGCACTTGGAGCTACTGTGGCAGGTCCACAGCAGGACAGGTTCTTGGCTTATACACTTCCTGTCTCTTCCCTGGCCATGGTACACTGGTGTGCCCCATCCTCATGACCTGATTATTGCCAAGATTGTTTCTGAGGTAAAATACAAGACCACGGACCAGAGCTGCCATTCAGAGAGCACTTAGCTTGCATGCGTGAAGTCCTGGGTTCAATCCCCAGCAACACGGACCACAAAACCCAACAAAATACGATAGAGGAGCACAAGGACCCAAGTTCGATCCCCAGTACCAAAACAAAAACAAATAGAGGAACCTTTTAGCAGAAAGGTTCTTGTGCAATATTTGGATATAGTTACACCAAAAATTATTTTCCGTTTATCTGAAAATTCAAATGTAACTAAACACCCTCTATTTTTTCTTCCAGAAGCTGACAACCTTAGCTCCCCAGCACCACGTGACTGAGCACCCTGCCTAAGACTGCTGTGTCCTGTTCTTGCTGATCTCCCACACCAATGACCACTGCCTTGTCCCTGAAATCCCAGGCCCTAACCCAGGGCCCAGCACTCTGCTTTTTACGCTGCAACTGCAGGACTCCCCGGAGCCATTTTTCTGCCCTCTGGTCTGAACCTCTGCCGAAAGCCCATCATGGCACTGCCTAGCCCAGAGTACACTTCTGGTGCCAGCCTGGTGCCACAGCTCGGTCCCCTCTGCCCTCCAGAAATCCCCATGAATTGCCGATGATCCCCAGGCTTGACCAGAAAGTCGGGCTATTTCGTCTAGATCGTGACCCTGCAGGGCCAGGGAGGACGGCTCAACGATGCCATCCAGCATCATATTTTGCACATTATGTAGGCTTCATAAGTGACTGCTGAACTCAGACTAAAAGACAAAGGTATGGACTGGGTAATGGGTAAGAACAGAAAATAAAATAGGGCCAGGGATGTAGCTCAGTGGTTTCAGCGCCTGCCTCACAAGCGCGGGGTCCCGAGTTCAAACCCTGGTACCAAATTCATTAATTAATTAAAATAAAATAAAATAAGGGCAGGATAATATAATGAGAGACCAACAACATATACTTTGAGTCAAACAGAAAAAGGTAAGAGACTATACAACTGTAACTTCTTTGTGTATTTGTCCCCAAATCATGTCAAACAAGAGGAAAATTATTTTGGCCTCTCTGGAAGTCTGACGAGTAACACAGGAATATGCAGGGGCATGACAGAAGTACAGCAAAGTCCCACAGAAATTCTCAGAGGAAACTAAGGCTCCCAGGAGGCTGGTCTGAAGTCTTTGGCATGCCGGAGAACTGTCTTTGGGGTTGGGCAGCCCCGAGGGGACAGCATTGTGCAGAGTCATATTTTAGGGCTTGGGCTATGCCTCAGTCGTAGAACACTTGCCTAGCATGCATGAGGCCCTGGGTTTGATCCTCAGTAGATAAAAAAAAAAAAAGCCATGTTTTCTTTCTGTTTCCAGAATGTCACACCTTCATACATATTCTTAAAAGACTAACACAATATCATCAAACATTTTCCAGACTTCGTTTCCCTGTTAATATTATCCATCGTGTCCACAATTTATGGAACTGTCAGTGGTACGGCCAAAGAATGCCAAAGGTTTTAGGACCAATCAAGGTAATTTAATTCTGAGGTTCACCAGACAAATACCTGCTTTTGTGTAGTCACATGACAAGCCTTCTCTTGTCTACATACGGATTGATATTTTGGATTAAAAGTCCAAGTGCAAGCTTTCAGTGAAGCAGGAAGCAGCATAGTATCAAGTATCACTAAAACAAAACAATTTCTTGGACAATTAGTACCTTCCGGTAGCAGCCCCATCTGCACGGAAGGGCACTAAGATCTCTTTGCGTGTGTGCTCCTGTAAAGCATTTGTGGTGGGGTCAGCTGCACTAGCATCGCCTGGAACACTCAAAGAACGTGCGTGGGATATTTACCTTGCACTCAGCTAGGATTTCAAGGGAATTATTTAACATAATCTTTATATCACCTTTATGAGGCAGTCATCACCTCGCCCTCACAAAAGAAGAAAGCGAGGTAAGCAGGAGGTAATGTGCCTAAGCTCTAATGCACAACAGTGCCTAATGGGCATCGGAGGCCAATTCCAATCCCAAAGTCCACCTCTGTGGTTCAGCGAGAAGGGAGCTGGGGGAAGCACTCAGCTGCCTTCTGTCCACACCCTGCTGCCAGCCTCCCGTGCTGTCCGTCTCGAGTTGGCCAGCTAGCCCCGGGCCGGCCTTGGCTTGCTGGGCTACGCTTGTGAAAATGACAGTGCCAGTGTGTTCTGTTCACATGTTGTCTGTGGCTGCTTTTGCAACAGTAGAAACTTACAAACCACAGAGCAGAAAATGTTTAAGGTACAGCCCTCTGCAGAAAATAATTTCCTGCCTCTGGGTCAAGATCATTGGATGCTTCTGCCAGTAGCTCTAAGAAGGAGGAATCTCCCCAATTTTAGAAGAGTTAACAACCTCAGAAAAGCTGAGCTGCTTGTTCTAAGCTGTGGGTTCCTGGATAATATCCTTTAAAATTCAGATTTTGCCATACAAGTGTAGCATTTTTTTTTTGACGCTAAGGACACTGGGCAAAATATGCTGTATATTTTCTTATTATTTCATAAAAGATAGTTTAATACTCAGGTATGATGGGATATAATTATCAATGGTCTTTCAGAACAAAAAGATTTAAGTAAAATTTGAATACTATTCTTTTTAAAAATTTTTTCTGTAGAGAATAGATAAGGATGTAACCACAGACCGGCACATGTTAAAAAAACTAATGGGGTACTTGCTGAGGAATTCCAGTCAGCAAGTTTCAGATCCAGAGAACACACAGGCCTATCTGACTCCAAAGCCCATGTTAGCCCATCTACCTATCTATCTATCTATCTATCTATCTATCTATCTATCTGTCATCAACTTGCATGCATTCTATCTTTCCATAATTTTTCACTGAGCATTTACTATGTGCTGAGTACTTAGCTCATATCAAGGACATGATGAATCATTTTCCTACATTTCTCTTACCATCACTCTCTTTTTCCTTCGGCTGTTTTGATTCAAATAAAAAATTCAAGTATCAGGCCAGGGATTTAGCTCATTGGTACCACCACCTGCCTCCCGAGTGGAAGGCCCTGAGTTTGATTCCCGGTACCCCCACAAAAAATTCAAATATCACAGATCAGTTAACCATTTTCTTATTATGAACATTTCACCTGTGAGCTACTGGGGAAAATAATCCAAATGAAAAACCACAACACAGTAATATTATAGAATATCTCTCTCTCTCTCAGTAATGACTTCAGAGACTTGCAGTACAAAGAGGCATTAAATTATCAAGGCACAAAGACTGCCCACTCCAGAATTCTGAACTCTCAATATGATTGTTTGCACATATGTCTTCATGGCTTTAAGGTCCTCTAATATATAAAACCCCATAATCTGCCAATAACTACTTTAATATTATGTTGCTAGAAATTGTTCTTCCATTATAGTGAACTACCACCAATAAAGCAGTCAAACTATTTAAAAATTACAAGCAAATTTAGCTCAGTGGTTCCTTGAAAGCGCAAGGACCTGAGTACCGAAAAAAAAAAAAAAAGAAAAATTACAAGCAAAAGTTAATTATGAGAGTGACTATCAAAGAACTTTAAGTTAACATTAATATTCTTGAACAAATCAGAACATTCAAATTATTGTATTATATATAACTATGTAATAGCCTACATTTAAATATTTGATTCAGAATTATTCCTCTTTTAAAAAAATTATTACACTGATAAGACAAGTACAAGAAATGTTCTAATTACTCCACTGATCATAGAAAGAGTATTTTTTTAAAAATTAAATGAAACTTACTGTGTATTCTGATTCCAGGTGTTCATTTGGAGAAGAGGGAAAAGAAAAAAGGAGAAAGAGCGATGATTTAGATCACACATGTGTAATACAAAAACACAAAGCTAACAACAACTGGTGAGCTACGAATACTAGTAAAAATGGGGTAAAGAAGCATTCCCAAAATTGGATTTTCATAAGTACTGACTGTCTTTACGTTTGCTCTTCACTTTTTTCACCTGACACTTCTGTGGTTGGGCAAATAAGGACAAGAAGACAAGATTCAATTAGCCTATAGGTTTGTGGCTAATTAAAAACCCAAGAGTTGGCATTATAAAAGCAGAATTAAAGACTAATTACTCGGTAGAGCATTTCATTAACCACAAAGAAAATCTTTTATGTGGAAAAGTAGCATTTATAACCCATACAAAGCGTTTGTCATGATGCTGACACGGGATCCCAAGTTTCAGTATGTTTGAGCGAAGGGACCAAACCTAAATTTTGAGTGGCCACAGTTTTCGGTACAGTATGCAATACAGAGAGTTTATTATCATTGCACTGGGGGAAAATGACCTTAAAGATTTTCTTATTGTCTAAGGGTAAAGGAAGTCATTGGGAGTAGAGAGACTCAAAAACTTTCTTTTCTTTTCTTTCTTTCTTTTTTTCTTTTTTCTTTTTTTGTTTTTTTTAGACAGGGTCTCACTATGTAGTTGAGACTGACCTGGAACTCACTGTGTAGCCCAGGCTGGTTTTGAACTCACAGTGATCCTCCTGCCTCAGCCTCCTAAGTGCTGGGATTACAGGCGTGCGCCACCATGCACGGCTTTGTTTCCTTTTTAATTTCTGTTTTGGTGTGAAGGGATGAAACTCAGAAGCATTGCACTGAATTACACCCCAAACCCTTTAAAAATTGTTTGCTGTTTATTACTCAGACAGGATCTCACTAAGTTGCCAGTACTGGGGTCAAACTTGCAACCCACCTGCCTCAACCTCTCAGTGCTGGGATTTCAGGCCTGTAATCAAAAGAAACTTTTACAAAATTTATAATCATTGTTCTTGGGGAACTATAAAACAAAGAAGTCAAAGTAAACAGCTTGTTTATTGACAAATCAGAGGGAAAAATAAGGAAAATAAACCTCTAGACCTGTAACTAAAAAAGATCTTTACCTTATTTTTTCTTTAGGCTCCCACAGGACCTTCATGGATAATCAGCCCTAACTCACAGAAATTCCACCGGGGCTGTGCCCTTGCATTCACTCTGTATGCTTCTGCTAGACTTACCTGTAATTGTGTAGGGATAATAGTTCCAAGCCTTCTCTGTCACATAAAATATTTTGGGGACCACAGCTCGAGCCCAACTAGGCAATTTGCTAAGAGGAAAGAAAGAAAGAAAAAAAGATGATTAGCGTCTGTTCAGAGCCTCACCGTGCTATTACATCTTTCTAGATAAATAGCTAGAGAAGTCAAGAAGAATTCTCAGGCATCTCTTCTTTCTGTGCTCATTTCTTTCCCATCTCTCTGGTCTTCGCTACACAATCAGCTGTTTCCTATTCATATTCATGTACTTTCAAAATTCATAAAGGCAGAAGGCTGCAGCCTGGTGTGGGGAAGGAGGGTCCTAGGGCTCTAAGCCTGTCCTTTTAGGTTGGATTTGCAAGATCATGAGAATTCGGGGCCCTTGGAGAGTGTAACCAAGCTGGCCTTGGACTTCTAGAAGTAGTATGTTGGAAATGATGATAGGCCAACTTGATTGGATCAATAAATGCCTAGGAGCTTGGTAAAGCATACTTTGGGATGTGACTGGGTGGGACATAGGGGCATGACCTTGGGTAATATACATGGTCCCTAGCAGGTTCTTCTCTGGCACTGTTCCCCTGCGCTGCTTCCTGGCTACCATGAACTAAGCATTTTTGTTTTGCCAACCTTTCCACAATGGTGTTTCTGCCTTTGAGCTAGGTGACCATGGGCTGAAACACTCCTCCTTTAAACTGTGGGTATTGGGTATTGTGTCTTGGAAGGAGAAGCTAACTGATACAGATGGTTAAGCCCAAGTGGGAAGGAAACACAGGCAAATGTTAGAGAGAGGATTGACCCTAACAGCCAATATGAGCTGCCATTAGAAAATAAACAAAAGCAATAAAGAGTAGAAATGCGGAGACAGAAAGAGGATATAAAACATGTGATGGCTGCAGAGGGTTGAACTGTGTCCCTAAAAAGGATATGTCTCAGCCAAGAATTTAGCTCAGTGGCGCCACTGCCTGCCTTTCAAGCTCAAGGACCCAAGTTCGATCCCCAGTACCCCCCACCAAAAAAAAAAGATACGTCTGCATCTTAACCTCCAGTGCCTGTGAATATGATTTCATTTGAAAACAGGGTCTTTGTAGATGTAATTAAAGGATCTCAAGATGAAATCACTCAATGATGCATTCTTATTAAAGAAAGGATAGAAAAATTGGGGATTCACAGGCACGCAGAGGAGAAACCACGTGAAGATAGCAGCAGAAATTGGGAGTAATACTGTTAGAAGAAAAGGAACACCAAGGATTACTGGAGACACCAGGAGCCAGGAGGGATTGCAGCACAGAGGCCCCTAAAGGGTACAACACTTCCAACACCTTGTTTATTTTAATTCCAGAACCGTGAGAGGATAAATTTGTGTCGTTTTATGCCACCCAGTTTATGCCACCCACCACCCAACTTTAAACTGTGGGTATTGGGTATTGTGTCTTGGAAGGAGAAGCTAACTGATACAGATGGTTAAGCCCAAGTGGGAAGGAAACACAGGCAAATGTTAGAGAGAGGATTGACCCTAACAGCCAATATGAGCTGCCATTAGAAAATAAACAAAAGCAATAAAGAGTAGAAATGCGGAGACAGAAAGAGGATATAAAACATGTGATGGCTGCAGAGGGTTGAACTGTGTCCCTAAAAAGGATATGTCTCAGCCAAGAATTTAGCTCAGTGGCGCCACTGCCTGCCTTTCAAGCTCAAGGACCCAAGTTCGATCCCCAGTACCCCCCACCAAAAAAAAAAGATACGTCTGCATCTTAACCTCCAGTGCCTGTGAATATGATTTCATTTGAAAACAGGGTCTTTGTAGATGTAATTAAAGGATCTCAAGATGAAATCACTCAATGATGCATTCTTATTAAAGAAAGGATAGAAAAATTGGGGATTCACAGGCACGCAGAGGAGAAACCACGTGAAGATAGCAGCAGAAATTGGGAGTAATACTGTTAGAAGAAAAGGAACACCAAGGATTACTGGAGACACCAGGAGCCAGGAGGGATTGCAGCACAGAGGCCCCTAAAGGGTACAACACTTCCAACACCTTGTTTATTTTAATTCCAGAACCGTGAGAGGATAAATTTGTGTCGTTTTATGCCACCCAGTTTATGCCACCCAGTTTATGGCAGCTGTTGCGTCAGCTCTCAGAAGATAATCCAATGACAGAGGCACTCGTGTGGAGCACAGGCCTGGACAGCCATTTGCAGAAAACTCATTTTCAAAAAGAACTGGTCCCAAGGTCATTTGTAAACCAAATACTAATTAAGTTTTGTTTTGTTTTGTGCCAGGGGTAAAACCTACAGCTCAGTGCAGGCCCAGAGAATTCTACCAATACCTCTTATAATATTTAAGGAACATATGAAAATGCCTTAAAATTTATCTGCATGATTTTACTTCCCCCCAGTGCCACATCCAAGGGTTTTCTGCATTCCCTGAAGCTGCCATTTTGCTTCCGTCTTGTTCTGGTGCCTACAGCTGAGTCTGGGATGCTGTCGATCGTTCAGCAGTAGATAAGACCCAGGGTGAAGATGCAGACACGCAGCTCCTCAGGGTAAAGAACACCAAGAATCAGTTTTGAATTCCAAGCTGATATAACCAAGAAAGGAAGGACATCAAGCTAATGGAGTGGAGCTCTATTTAGTGATGCTAAAACCACTCTTGGATGTGGAATATTAATGACAATCCGAGCCAGTAAAATGACAGGTTCCTTTGTATGTCTTCTCATATTGTTTCTCTCATTTCTGATAGTACCCCAGCCCCGGATTTTTTGGGAAAAGACAGGTATGTATTTTTCAATGGCTAGTCAGACCTAACCCAAAACTCTGGGCTAAATCAGAGACACAACACATGGAGGAAACCTCGGGTGGGCTGTGAGGAGAAAGGCAAAGCCATTTTAAAATTCACGTAACACTTCTTCTTGCTGCTATAATGCAGGATTTCTCACTCCTATAAAGTCATCTCTGCTGTAACTGTTCATTTACCTTACATTCCCATTTCTCAAAGGATGGAGTGGCTCCCTGACAGGCCTTTTATAGCTTCTGCTGCTGACTGATTCCATCAGTCCCTGACGCTGGAGTAGGCCTGTGGTTGGAAGTTGGTGTTACGTGGGAAAATCCCATTGGCTGCCTTGCAGGATACGGAGGAGAGCAGAACTTCCCCCAGGGCCCCTCGGTTCGAAAGCCCACACCCTAGAGCCATATGCCAATGGATACTGCAGTCAGATGTGAATTCTGGCCATGAGCAAGTGTTTTCTTATGCTTTTATTGGACTGAAACAGGGCTGGAGACTCTCCTGAAAGTAAGCAAGGCATTGTTTAGCTTAAGTGAATATAGCTCCCTACAGCTCTCGAGCCTATTCTCCACTACCCCCTGTGAGGAGGGTTCCATTTCCCTTGCATGGATCCTCAAACCCACCAGGCTCCTCTCTTGCAGCACTCCACATAATTCCTTCCCTCTAGCATTTAAAAATCCTGCCAGCAGAACTGCATTCCTAAGTAATAATCATTTTCTGAAAGGAAGATGAAAACCACTGGCGATTTTCCATCCACGTTGAGACTCTTCCTGTCCGTAATTGGTCAAGACTCCTGATTCTAGACTCTGTTTTAGCTCTTTCATGCCCCAACTCATGGAGGATAGGCAGCTTTATAACCAATTATCTTTTCCAATGAGATGCCCTAAAAAATAGTCACTTAGCCACAATGGCTGCTATGGCTTTGTGTGACTCCTCTAACTCAGCCTGAGAAGAACTTTCTGGTATAAGCCATGGGCTGGGTCAAGTATTGGAGGCTTGTGCAACAAGTCCCATAATACATTTGCTATAGTTTGGGTGTTAAAGGTCTCCCCAAGGCCCGCATATTACAGGTGTGGTCCTCAGGGTACTCTTGCTGGAAGATAGTGAGACCATTACAAGGTGGTCTGGAAGGAAGTTTTCTGATCCTTAGGATGTGCTTTTTCAAGGGGCTTGGGACTCAGGCCTCTTCCTCTTCCTCTTTTGCTTCCTGGTCACAGTGCTCCCCTCTCCCCCACTGTGACCGGCACTTCCATCAGAAGCCTAAAAACGATGGGTCCACCCCGTCATGGCCCACAACCTCTAAAACTGTGAGCCAAAAATAAAATTTTTTCTCTTTATATGGTTATCATCTCAGGTATTTTGTTAGAGTGACAGAAAGCTGACTAATGCAATGCTATTTCAGTATTCTGAAGCCCACTAACAGACCTGCTTTCAGCCTCCTTTCCCCCAGAGCACATCATTATTTGAATCATTTTTGTCTGAGAATGTAAAATTTATTTTCCCCCACAGCAGTGATTTATCAGGATCTGCAAAGGAAAATGGAATTAAATTAGTCTCCACTACTGCTGTCACTTGCATGATGTATACTGTCACACGGCCTACAAGTCTAAGAAAAAGCCTGTCATTCAAACTCACTACCAGGTGTCACACAAGAACCTCTCATCTACAACGGCAGAGAGTTTCAGCCAAGTGCATGCATGGGCTTCCTCCCAATGGTCCACCTTACCAAGGCTCAGGCTTTAAAGACATCTGAATTTTCACTTCTCCTGTACCAGTAGAGTCCTCAGTCCCAGGCAAACTGGGACATCTGGTCACCCTAGAGTAGTGGTTCTCTATGGTGATTTTGCCCCCTACCCCCAGAGACATTTTACAGTGTCTGAAATGTTTTGATCATCTCAGGGGGTTGCTATTAGCACCAGGTGAGTAGGTCAGGGATGCTGTTCTACACCTCTCAGGCAGCGGAAAGCTCCAGATGACAAATAAATATCTGGTCCAAAGAGCCAGCAGAGAAAAGGCATGGTCTGTCTCTCATCTCCTGTAAAACCAGGCACATGGTCTGTCTCTCATCTCCCATAGCCCCAAGGCTCCCTAGACCACATCTGCTCTGATAAGAAGGCAGGCAGAGGTCAGGTCTGCTCTGAGGACAGGCCTCGGGTTAAGGGTGTTACCTCAAAGTTTCCCTGCTAGCCAATGTCACACTGAGTGTACGCTCATTTGGGATCAGACTAAATATGGTCTGAAGGGAGTCTAATTTCATTTTCTCAACAGGGGCCAGAAATGAGACAGCCTCAAC